TGTCTGGGAAAGAAACGTCACCAGGGATGGAGATAGAGATCTGCGCACGGCTCCGGCTCCAACGCGACACCGCCCCAGCCCCGGCTTCCCATCGGTGCCTCCCGTGCCCCCTGAAACAGGATGCCACCGCTTTGTCCCACTGGCCCATGGCGATGCCTTCCTGGCTGCCGGGTCCCCTGACCGGCTCACACACTGAAATAAAGCCAACCGAGGAGGAAAAGAGAGCCAGCAGCGGGGTGCCTGGGGGGGCGCAGCCGCCTGGGCGTCCGACTTGTGGTTTCTGCTCAGGTCGTGGTCCTCGGGCTGTGGCATCAAGCCCCGCGTCGGGCTCTGAGTCTGCTTGGGATGCCGCTCTCCCTCTCCCCCTGCCCGTCCCACGAAAATAAGTAACTCTTTAAAAAAAAAAAAAAAGGCCTGGATGGCTCCATTAGTTCAGCGTCAGAGTCTTGAGCTCCGGGTCCCGAGTTGGGCTCCATGTGGGTGTGGACCCTACTTAACACCAAAACAAAACCAAAAAAACCCCCAAAACTCTGGGTCAGGATTTGACATGGAGGTTCATATTCCCGTCCCCGAAACCTCCCAGAAGCACCAAACCCGCGCTGGGCACTCTGGGTCTTTATCACAAATGCTGCCCTTTCTCGGGGGGCACCTGGGGAAGCGGCAGATAGTAGCAGAATGAAGTCAAACGAAGGCCGGACAAGCTCACTGGTTATGCGGGCAAACACACAGGGCACTTGTGTGTTTGGGGTTTGACCTAGGAATAATTTACAGGGCGCCTTTTTATAAACTGGCCACTTTTTCTTTTCTTTTTTTTTTTTTTTTGAACAGCACACGATCTCTTTTGGAGCGCTACATCGAATGCTAGACAAGGCTAACGGATGTGAGGGACAGATGCGTGATCGGCGGCTGCCTGCGGACGGGTGAATGGAGGAAAATGGCAGGGTTTAGGCACAGATTTAATTTTAGAGAAGAATACATGTTACCCATTTCAGAGAAATTATTTTTATTATTATTTTTTTAATTTTATTTATTTGACAGAGACGCAGTGAGAGAGGGAACACAAGCAGGGGGAGTGGGAGAAGGAGAAGCAGGCTTCCCCACTGAGCAGGGAGCCCAATGTGGGGTTTGATCCCAGGACACTGGGATCACGACCTGAGCCGAAGGCAGACGCTGAACGATTGAGCCACCCAGGCACCCCAGAGAAATTATTTTTAAAAGTATATTGAGGCCTCTGTAATAAGGAAAATCTAGAAACTCAGTGTGAGGTTTCACTGCCCCTTAGAAAATTTAGAAAATTTTAAAATTAGAAAATTTAAAAATTTAGAAAATTTAATTCATGTTTCTCAACAAAGCACCATTTCACACTTTTTTCTATTAGGTAAAAGTAATATGCACATAGAGTAGTAAAAATTAATCCAGGGGCACCTGGGTGGCTCAGTCAGTTAAGCACCTGCCTTCGGCTCAGGTCATGATCCCCAGGTCCTGGGATCAAGCCCCACTTTGGGCTCCTTACTCTGCAGGGAGTCTGCTTTTCTCTCTCCTTTTGCCGCTGCTCCCCTGCTTGTGCTCCTTTTCTCGTTGTGTCTGTCAAATAAATATATAAAATCTTAAAAACAAACACCATTTCACACTTTTTCCTACTAAGCAAAAGTAATACCCACGTAGAGAATTACAAATGAATCCAGGGACGCTTGTGGGGCTCAGTCGGATAAGCATCTGCCTCCAGCTCAGGTCATGATCTCAGGGTCCTGGGATGGCGACCTCCATAGGGCTCCGTTGCTCAGTGGGGAGGGAGTCTGCTTCTCCCTTTTCCTCTGCTGTGCCCTGCTCACTCATACTCTCTCTCAAATAAATAAAATCTTTAAAAAAAATCCAAAAAGTTATTTTTAAAAATTCCACAATACCTGTTTTCAAACTGACACAGTGTTATGTGTCAAATACATTAAAAAAACCCAACATAAATAAAAGTATGTCTGCCAAAAACTAAAAGTGAACACAGTGCTTGGTTTGCTTTTATCTCTTGTTGTATGCATACTGTTTAAACCATGAATTCCCATCTAAACCAGATGATTATTCTGTGCAGCCCTGATTTAAACAAAACTGGACACGGGCGCCTGGGGGCTCAGCCGGTTCAGCATCGGCCTCCGGCTCGGGTCATGACCTCGGGTCGGGGTCCTGACATTGGGCCCTATGCCCTGCTCAGTGGTTAGTCTGCTTCTCCCTCTGCTCCTCTCCCGTCTCGTGCTCTCTTTCTCAAATAAATAAATAGGAGCCTGGGTGGCTTAGTTGTTGAAGCGTCTGCCTTCGGCTCAGGTCGTGATCCCAGGGTCCTGGGATCGAGTCCCACACATGGGGCTCCCTGCTCAGCAGGGAGCCTGCTTCTCCCTCTGTGATCTCTCTCACTGTCGCTCTCTCGCAAATAAATAAATTAAATCTTAAAAAAAAAAAGAACTAAATAAATGAAGAATAAAAACTTAGCCTTTGAGACTACTGTAGCCAGCATGCAAATGCCCACCCTTTCCAGGGTCATTCTTTTTGTCTTGATCACAGAGTAAATACATAAACGCCCTTTGGGGCTTGGCCTGGAACGGAACATGAAGCTACATCTGATGGTTTTTTGGGGACCAGACCTCCTGCTGACTTCTAGGAACACAGGCACACAGAACCCCAAAGGCTGGCTCCTCCTCTTTAAAAATGCAACAAGCTCAGCGGTTCTTATTGTTATAGAAGTAATATGCTACTTTAAGTTACACTTAAAAAAATGGTGAAGATGGTAAGTTTTATGCTATGTGTATCGTACCACGATACTTTTAAAAATTAAAACTGTAGGAACGGGCAGCGCCTGGGTGGCTCAGGCAGTTCGGAGGCTGACTCTTGACTTTCGTCTGAGGCTGTGGTCTCAGGGTCCTGGGATCGAGCCCCATGTGCGGCTCTCCACTCAGCAGGGAGTCTGGTTCAGGATTCTCTCTCATGCTCTGCCACGCACCCCACCCTCACTTGCTCTAAGAAATACATAAATCTTTTAAAAACACCTGGAGGAATAGGACAGACACGGTTCTCTGACTGCTTGTATGCACTGTGCGCAGCTGGACCCTGTGGGGCACCTTCCGTGTCCGCAAGTGCTGACGGCACTGGGAACGGCAGTACTTTACACGGCGGATGGTCTCCCATTCACGTAATTTCCCTTTGCTGAGTATCTGGGATCCCAGAAATGAACACTGTGCGTCCAAGATACGCCTCCTGAAACACGCTGCGAAACCACCCACCAGAAAGCCTGTCTAATCCGTATCCTAACGGGCAGTATATCAGGTCTGTGCTTGGTCCCCGCAATCTCACCAGGTCAGAGGCCGGGCTACTCTACTCTCTGCCCGCTCGACAGTCAAGTAAAGCTGCAGATTCGCCGGGGAGACAACGTTCGGCAACCCCAGTCATCCTAGGGGCCGGCGAGGAGGCCTAGATAGTGGGTAACGCCGAGCTCACCTCTGCGCACCAAGCTTCCGCTCCCACAGTCATCACTACACTGTCTCCCGCAGAGTGCCTCGAGAACACACACCCTGCCTTAGAAAGGTCACTAACACGACCCCAGACGAGTCACTTACAACATGACAGCATCTCTCCTACCTCATCCTCTCCAAACGGCTCCCAAACTGCTACCTTAGTTTATTTTTCTGACTTACAAAGAGGACAGCCTGTACCACTTGGAAATGAGATTGCGAATTCAGTGTGGCAACGGATTAAGAGTTTTGTGTTTTCTTCCTTGTTTTTGAGCCTCCTCCTTCGATAGGATTTGACTCAAAACAAAAAAAAAAAAAGTGAAGTCCTTTGGGAACAGGGCCTCAAGTCGGTATTAAAAACTGAAGTAATAAATGCCTGAGTCCATTTAGTTTTGAAAAAATTTATAGGCAAGAGGCGCCTGGATGGCTCAGTCGGTTAAGTGCCTGCCTTTGGCTTAGGTTATGATCCCGGGATCCCAGGATCACGTCCTGAGTCAGGCTCCCTGCTGAGAGCAGGGAGGCTGGTTCTCCCTCTCCCTCTGCCTGCCGCTCCCCCTTGTGCAGGCTCTCCCTCTCTGTCAAATAAATAAGTAAATCTTAAAAAAATATATTTACAGCCAAGCTTAGAAAGACTGCACTAATTTTGCTAAAATTTAAAAAAAAAATGAATAAGGGGAGGGTGCAGGGGGGCATGCACACACTTTATGAGGAATTAGCCAACTCAGAAAATGCAAGATGGAAAAATCATTCTTTATGAAGACCACAAATGCCAAGTTACGGGGGTCCAGGAGTACTGCTGGAGCTCCCATGTCTGAAAGCATCACATTCCTAATTCCCCTTTTCCACCTTCTTTTTTTTTTTTTTTTGGAAATTTTTTAAGTTTTTTTTTTTTTTTTTTTTTTTTAAGACTTTGACAGAGAGAGACAAGGCGAGAGAGGGAACACAGGAGAGGGAATGGGAGAAGGAGGAGCATGCCTCCCGCTGAGCAGGCAGCCTGATGTGGGGCTCGAACCCAGGACCATGGGATCATGACCTGAGCCGAAGGCAGATGCTCAAGTCCTGCAAACTTCCTTCGCCATCTGATTTGTAGGAACAGGCAGCTTGCTCACCCCTCAGACCTCAGCCCAGCGCTGGAAACTCCCTCTGTGCCCAGTCAGGCTTTATTTTAGCATAAAAAATGAAAACGCAGCAGCCTGCCACCTTGTGGAAACGACAGGAACAACACTTCATCTGGAACACATATTGTGCAAGAAAAGATAAAAGCCTTCAAAATTCACTTCATATATCAGATGAACAACCCCTAGGAATACAAGAAGGCATCTTTTGAGATTCTGACGCTGGATTCATCCTTGGTCAAGAGATGTAATTCTACGTGTACACAGACACAGACACACACACACGCAATCAAGCCCAAGCTGGGACTGCGTGCGGGGATACGGACCGGCCACGCCGGCTGCTCCTTCACCCACTTCTGTCTGTAAAGACGGCACGAGGCGCGGGTCTTACCTCTTCACTACGAGCTTCAGGGTTTTATGAGAGCCCTTCACCAGGCAAATCGCCTCCTGTCTAAAGCCCGAGAGATCGATGTCGTTGATGCCGACGATCTCGTCCCCCGCCAGCAGCTTGTCCACCGCCGCCGCTTTACTTCCTTCTTCAACCTGCGGCAGAGAAGCACGTCTCGTGAGCTTCCAAATGTGCAAACCGAGCGCCCAGAACTCGGCCAGAAACAACACAGAGGCGACGCAGGGGACCCACAGGATCTATGATGGGCTTTGGGATCAGCCCGGACCCCTCCCGGGCCCCTGACGCTGCAGTGATTCCTACCTGGGGAAAGAAGGGACGCACCCCTCTCCCCGGGCTACCATTCGCAGGGGGAACGGGAAAGAGCCCGTGTGCTCGGGAAGGCTCATAGCCTGGAACCGCAGACCCAGAGACATGGGCTCGGCCCCCGGATCTCTTCTATCCAAGCAGAAAGGATGGATTATTTTCATTACTTGTTCTTTCTCGTACGTTAATCCCACACCTAGATTTCTGTAACTGCTTGAGAAAGAATTGCAAAACCGCAATGCTCCCCCACGTAAATATACAAGTGAAGAGCTATTCGTATATTCAGAGAACTGTGCAAGCATCGTGTCCCATTTTAGAACACTTCCCTATGCCTGGAAGAAACCTGGCAGCCGTGGGCAGTCACTTCCTGAGCCCTCCTGGCCCTGGCACCCAGCAACCTACCACCCATCTCTATGCATGTGCCTGTATAGACAGCTCATATAAAAAGAATCCTACAGGGCGCCTGGGTGGCTCAGTCGGTTAAGCGTCAGCCTTCGGCTCAGGTCATGATCTCAAGAGTCCTGGGATCGAGTCCTCTGTGGTTCTCTGGGCTCTGCACTGAGTGTGCTTCTCCCTCTGATGCCCCCCCACCGCCCCTCATGCTAGCTGATTGTCTCTTGCAGGAATAAATAATAAAAAAGACTCCCACGACACGTGGCATTTGTGCCCGGCTTCTTTCACTCAGCATAGAGCATCAAGGCTCATCCACGTGCTAGCAGCAGTCAGGACTTGACTCCTTTCTGTGGCTCAACGACAGACATCCCGTCCTACAGAATGCCACGTCTGACTTATCCGTTCGTCAGCGGCTGGACACTGCAGTTTTTCCTTTCTGGCTATTATGCTGCTGTGAACAGGGTGCTCGAGCTTCTGGGTGAGCATGTGTCGTCACTTCCCGTGGGTCTCCACGCAGGAATGAAGCCGCTGGCTCCTAGGGCGCGCATGGCGAGTGCTGCGGGAGCGGTCAGGCCGTCCGCTAGCGCTGCACAATTTTACCGGCCGTCCATGTCTGAATGTTCCAATTCCTCCACATCCCTGCTAACACGTAGCCATCGATTACAGTCCTCATGAGATCATGTTACGCTCTGCATGACTCCGTGCTAAACACATATGTATGAACATGTAGAGACTCACGCAAAGCTTCAAGGTTGCCCGTTTGAGAACTTTAATCCTGAGAAATCAGGATTTTCCTTTTTTTCTTTTTTTTAAAGATTTCATTTATTTATTTGACTGAGAGAATGAGCACAAGCAGGGGGAGAAACAGGCAGAAGAAGAGGGAGAAGCAGGCTTCCCGCTGAGCAGAGAGCCTGATGTGAGGCTCGAACCCAGGACCCTGGGACCATGACCTGAGCCAAAGGCAGACACGTAACGACTGAGCCACCAGGCACTCCAATCCTAGCTTTTCCTATATAGTAATCATCAACTCAGCAACAACAAACCCAGCCTGCTTTCTGTACTAGCACTTGGCAAACTAGGGCCCATGAACTAAACCCAGCCAGTTGCCTTTTTTTTCCCACCAGTAAATAAAATTTTTTTTTTTAAGATCTTATTTATTTATTTGACAGACAGAGATCACAAGTAGGCTGAGAGGCAGGCAGAGAGAGGTGTAAGCAGGCTCCCCACTGAGCAGAAAGCCTGACGCAGGGCTCGATCCCAGGACCCTGGGACCATGACCCGAGCCGAAGGCAGAGGTTTTAACCCACTGAGCCACCCAGGCGCTCCCCCAGTAAATAAAATTTTACTGGAATACCACCACACCCACTTGTTTATATACTGTGATAGGACAGAATTGAGTGTTTTGGCCCACAAAGCTTAAAGTATTTACTACTTGGCTTGTTAAAAAAAAGAGAGAAGTTTGCCAACCCCGGTTTTAGACCAAAAAACTATTCTCTTTACAAACTGCTAGGAAAACTAGTGAAGACAGTTCATGGTTACGAGCCTATCTGTGTACAGCCAAGCAGCTCACCGGTCGACTGCTGGCCACGCCTAAGCTTAGACTTGCTTCCACAGCCCTCCGCACGTGCTGGAGCAGTGCGTTTTCCCTGTGCGGCTGAACCACCGGGTACTGCGACCGACAGTGCCTCATTTCTGCAAGTGCACGGCATTTTCCTAAAACCTCCACCTGGATGCAAGGACAGCCGAACTCTTCGGTTCACCAAGCAATCATTCGTTGCAACACCATAAACAAAATTAAATGGCTACTGTTCACCAAATGGACTGCTTCATATTTTTGTTAATAACTGGTTTCAAGAGTCTAGACAATTTTATCCCAAGGTTAGGAAGTTTCCACCCACCCAAGATTACAGCCCCGGTCATGTATGGGCAAGGCGCAGGTTACACGCAGTGGAGAGCCTGGCTTTTGACACGTCCCCTGGGAGACGCCAAGGGGTCATCCAGGTGGAGGGTGCAGTGGACAGCTGGTGGTGGGAGGAGGGCTCCCAGGGACAGGTGGTGCACACATGGAGAGACCCCCAGCAGAAGGTATTTAAGGACGGGAGGGGTGGGGAGACTGAAGAACATTGCTTAGACAGAGATAGAACCACGGACAGAGAACCACATGGAAGGAAACCCGAGTAATTAGAGCTTTAGCAGAAAAGGGGCCATGTCAAAGGGCAGGAGATACAGGAGGAAGAGTGAGCGTCCCAGGAGCCACTGCCACCAGCACCACCAGAGTCCTAGTCGGGGGGACCCCTCAGGGGGCGCTTAGCAGCTGGGGTCCCTACCTGGGACAGCAGCACCAATCCCCCATACTGGGACCCGCGGGTTCAGACTCTGTCCAAGTAGTGCCTAGATCCCTTTCATCTCCTCCCACCCTGCCTGCCAAGCACCAGGCATGTGACGAGCAAACGAAAATCTAGAATATAAAGAAAACGCATTTGGAGAGTAACTTGGGTCTGTACGTACTTACTGTTGCCTAAACACTAGCAGTTAAATGCTTTGGTGGGGTGAATGCAAAAAGGCCATCATGTGGGTGAGTTCAGACTTGGTATTTATTCTTCTGCTAAAGATCTAGAGAGTAAGTCCTCCGCACAAGCAACTGGGCTAGATGGGCGGCGGGGGAGGGGGCGGGTCTTGCAAGATGGGAGTTCCTGCCTCGAAGACCTTTCTAGGCTTCAGAGACCAACACTTCCCAAACTATAATGTGCAGACGTATCTCCCAGGGTTTAAAATGCAGATCGGATTCAGCGGGTCCAGGGTAGAGGCTGAGCTTTTGCAATTTTTAAAAAGATTTTATTTGAGAGAGGGCATGCAGTGGGGGTGGGAGCGGGTGGGAGCAGGCTTTTCACTGAGCAGAGAACCGGATGTAAGTCTTGATCCCAGGACACTGAGATCACGACCTGAGCCGAAGGCAGGTATTTCACCGGCTGAGCCTCCCAGGCATCGTGGCCTATATTTTGAGTGGTTTTCAGAAACGCACATTTACAATGTACAATTCATTCTGTCCCCGATTTCTCAGGACACAATTTTGTTTTTCCCTTTCAACACTTACGCACTCCAAGTGGAAACCACTGAAAGGTCCATGAGGAAGTGAATCCATAATGAAAATGCCGTCCGGCCACACGAGGGAATGTCGGTGAGCCTTAAAAAGGAAGGATGGCCCGGCACGTGCTATCACATGGATGGGCCTTGAGGACGTGATGCGCCGTGAAACACGCCACCACAGAAAGACAGGCGCTGTGTGAGCCCGCTCAGGGGGACCCAGAAGAGGCCAGTTCACAGAGACAGCACACAGGACAAAGTTCCACAAGGGCTGGGGCACTGGGAGTCACGGTTTTGCGGGAAGATGAAAAAAGTCCTAATGTTCATTAAGGGTCGCCCTATGCCAATGTCAACATCACGGAGTCACACGCTTGCAAGTGGTGGAAACGGTTAAGTTTCGTGTTCCGTACTCTTAGCATCATCACACCCTCCTGATCTCTAACGAGAAAAGGACCCTGACCCACTGGAGGGGCGCCCTAAGTGCCCTCCCTACAGGGACTGCCTCCGAATCCGAGTGTTACGAGAAAGTCTGGAGGCAAAACCACTCTGATGAACGCCGTGCAGGGTCCAAGGAGGGACAGGTACCGGGGTCTGGCTCGGCTACCATGGGGTGGGTTTCTTGGTCTCACCCCCATAAACCCTCCTAGGAACCAGTTTCGTAAAACTCTCTGTAGCACAGTCGTCTCCGGTGGCTTCGCCATGAAGACCTTGTGACTTCTCGTCTGTAAATGAAGACTGCGTGGCAAAGTGCCCTTCCGCCTCGTCCTGACCACACTCCACACCCACACTTCCCAGAAAAAACAGGTCTGGGTTGGGCACATAGAGCAGCTGGGTTTCTAGCCCCTGGCTGGCTTCTTCGCCAAGAGAAAGTTTCTCTTTGGTATTGACTGTGCTTACCGGGAAAGCAGCTATAAGACAAAGAGCAGCCGTGAAAACTTCCATTTTGTGCTCCCCCGCCACCCCCCGAAACAGCTATTAGGTAGGATTCACTGGGCTCGAAATTGGTGAAAAATAAACCTGACGTCTGTGCTCGCCGCGGAGGATAAGGACGCCGGCTGCCTGCATTTTACAGCAAACCACATACGTGACACGTCTGCAGAACGTGGGGGCCACCACAGGGCCACTGTGGCCGGCAACGGTCAGGCAAAGTCCCCGAGGTCCCTGGGTTCACCTCGGAAGAGCCCCGCGCAAAGGGGCAGGCAGGCAGAGACAAATCCTTCCGTGCCCACGATGCACACCCACGTGCCACGCTCTTTGCACGTCCAGAACGGAAGCCCCAAGTGCCCACGGCAGGTCACACAGGCCGCACCCTGAGTTACCGACCTGCGTTCCAGATGGAGGACGCGCACCCGCC